TATAGATTTAAGCATATTCAATGAACTTCACCAAACAGATTTGGCAGATGAACATCACTGAAGAATAATGCATTACAACTTTTAGAAAAGCTACTAGCTTCAGATACATGCATAAATAGTGTATGTTGCTCTAGAACAAGAGATAATTTCTGTTGTATGTGTATTCTGTGAGTACAGAGATACATAGATACATATATGTGGAGATTTGTGTGTGTGTGTATATATATAATGTACAGAGGGTGTAAAAATTAAAGTGTAGTAGTCCCTGTACGAAGTCAATATGTACTGTTCCTCTAGGAAAATGTGAGTACAAGATGAAGTGTTGGTGCAGCATTGGGTGTGTATGAAGATCTAGCTGCGTTTTCTCTAGCCTTGCATTAAGACATACCAAGGAAAGTAACACTTAAAACAACAGCAGTAGTTTTGATAAGTGTCAGATAATTTGTAAGCATTGCTGAGGGCAGTGTTTAAACAGCCTCACAAATGCAGAGGAGAAAAAAATCTCCACAGAGGGAACACTATATCTGCTTGAAGTGAAATTGCCAGGAGGATTTCGTACAAGGAAAGATGATTCACTTCTGTAACAGCTGTTCCGGAATAAGTGGCAGAGATTTCAGCATTCTCTACCCATCTGTGGGTCTTTCTTGAGAACCGCAGCTTTCTTGCGAACTGCAGTATTCATGGATATGTGAGGTTAACTGTTTGTAGTGTTAATTGCAGCAATACATCTTTAAGGTCAAACGCTGTACAAGATTCTGAAGTGTTAGTCATTTATGTAAATAGGAATGGCTAGATGAACTAAAACACAACTACTTTTCTGAAGAGTTTTGCACTCCTTTGTTCCAAAAATATCTTTATTTCCTCTTCTATTCTTGGGTTTTGTTTACAGCTGTGGGAGAGTACATTCAAATTGTCTGTGCTTTTTTCTGGAAGCAGGCAGAAGTGTGCTAATTCTCATGTCCTATAGAGTTCAAAGCTGTGTAACTGAGAGCCTTATTTCCTATTCTTTTTTACTTTCTCAAGATTGAGGCTGCTGAGGAAAGCTCACACTGCAAAGAGAAAAATGATGCTGAGATACCTCGAGCCATTTCTGTGAGAATCATGTGAGCTAATAAACTGGCCTTACAGTTTGTCTGAAATCAGTGAAATGAGTGATGTCCTCAGTGAATATATTCCTGATGACTGCTGAAGAGTCACAGTTGTGCTTTGGTGTAGCTGGAGGGTAAGTTCACTGCTGTGATGCTTGTGTTTAAGGTAGTCCAATGGAAAGATGCAGAGAAGGAGGTGGCAAGGTCAAGGTGATAAATAAGGCTTGGATAGATCTTTTGCATTCTTCTTGGATGTCATTACAATAAATCTCACGAGGCTAAATCTAGAGCCTTAAACCATTCAGAAATCCTGGAGCAGATGTTAGACCTGTCACCAGATGATCATCCTGTCCTGTGTGGCCTCTCTTCTGGGTGAAAACAGGAAGGCTAGGAACCCTCTGATGAAAGTGAAAGCTGAAAAAGTGCAGTTCTGTGGCAAGAAATTAATTCTGCCTCTGCAGCGGTAATAATCTCTGTAAGGTTTGCCCAGCAGATGCCAGCAGTGAATTAGCACAGAGCTTGTGGAAAAATGAAAAGAACTGAATGTGTAACTGATGCAAATGCTTCACTGCTTAAAAAAAATGATTCCTTGAAATAATCTTAATGGAAAAAGTTAATTTTTACTGTGAAAATCCTCATTTTATCCTCTGAATCCTTGAGAATAATGTGTTAGACTGTCTCCATACAAGTCAGAAAACATTGGGGTGTAAATTTGGTCCACAGTTCATAATAATGGCTTTCCACATAAATTATGGCATTGTTACTTATTTTAAAGATGTTTTAGGTTTAGCCTTTTTACATCTTATGTATTTTTACCCGACCTGGTATCTACCTGTTTACTGTCCCCTTCAGAGTAAAAACATAACCCTTCTTGCTTACTGTTCCTCTCGGTTTGAATTACAAATTTGACCTGACTTTAAGCTGTTCCTTCTTGTACTGGAGGGAAGAAAAAAAAAAAAAAAATCGAAGTCATATGGTATTATCCTTCACTTCCATTGAACCATCTGGACTTCTGGAGCTAGAGCTGAAAACTGTCAACATCTCTTGATGCAAAGCAAAGAGACTTAACTAAAAGGGAAGTTCAAGCTGGAGAATCATCCTGGAGAAAGTTTTGTGCAGTTCAACACTGAGGAAGGAAATAATGATCTGTCAGAAGAGCCCCATCCTGCCCAAAAGCCATAGCATTAAATATCTAATGCTGTTCCTTTAAAGATTGGGATCATATTCAAGATTTTAGTAGAAACCAGATTTTGGTTTTATTAAAGTTTATTTTTGGTTTGCTGTTTAAAAAGCTTATGTTCTAAGCAAGAGGAAGAGGTCTAGCCTCTCATATCAGGACCCTCCTTAATTTAAAGAAGCTACAAGGAAGACTTGTTACTGCTTTGTTACTCTCAATAATAAAACTGATACACATGACTTTGATACGCACAATACAAGTCAGTTCCAGGTCCTTCTGAACTGTAGAGAATATAATATGTTATTCACCTAAATATGTTGATGACTGTGATTTTTTTTTTTTAATCTGTATTCAAAGAAATATTCAGAAATATTTCCTTGAATCAAGGTGTTAAATAATACAAATGAAGTAACACTGCTACATCACAAAGCAGTTGAAATGCCATATGATTTGGGATTTTATGTAGGATCATAAGCACTGAAAACATGGAGTTCACTAGTAATATTTATTCTTAACCCTTAAAAGATTCCTAATTGAAACTGCAAGGACCCATTGAAAAGTAAACTTGTGTCACATGGGAGTGAGTGTTCATTACAAATAATGATCATTATATGAGTCTAGATGATTACTTGTCATTTTATGTTCTTGGCAATTAGTGGAGCTCATTTAAAATATTTATTTTTACTGCTGGCTGAGTTTCCCTAAAAAACTGGAACAGACATCTTAAAAACTATGATCTCCCAGGCAAAATAAATTAAGTCTTGGAATTATGTCAAAACTTTTAACTGAAAATGCAGTTTCAAAACAATCTTTGTGCAAAAATCAAACTCATTTTCTCCCTTTAACTCATCTTTCTACCTACTTTTTTTTGGGTGTTTCTGTCTGTAAATCAAACATATGGTCTTTTTCTTGCTTTCTGGAAGACTTCCAAAGGTTGTGGGGGAAGTCTTACAGGAAACCTTTCCAAAACATATTTAGGGCTTGTTCTTCCTGTGCAGATAAAACCCTCAGATGTGTTTTTAATACAGACTAACTGAAACTGGAAAACTGTAATATCTGGTTTGGGGCATTCTTTTTTTAATTAAAAGGTAGAAATTTGATGGATATTTTTCCTATTAGAATTTGCATCAAGAGTTTTACTTCATTGTTACTTCCTTGTCTCTTTCAGTGAGTTCCAGATGTGCTAATAATTTGAGATTTATCTCAGTATAAATGTTTATTTGATCAAATGAGCATGTATTGGGTTCTGAGACTTCCTTATCAGATTATCAGATGGAAATGAATGCAGTATTTGCCTTTCATGAAGTTTTCTGCGTGGCTTTGATTTGAAAACATCTGTCTTTGAGTTACAAAAGTAATTCAGAAGAAAAGACCTATACATACAAGAAAGATATGGCTTTAATTCTTTCCCAGATATAGTCTTAGATTTTCCTGGTGTCCTGGAGTCTAATTGCATATTCTATTTATCTAATTTTGTCTTGTGTGACTGTTGATATACCACCTAAATGGAATCCATGCTTATAGTATTGCCAATTCACAGAATTAGAATTTTGTACCAGTGCAATTCCACAAATTAATTGTGCAACGTGTGAAGTGGTTGGCTCTAAGTAACTTTAAATTTCTTTCTGTTTTTCTTCCTCCAGGGAGCATACATCAGAATTCTGGCTTTTTATTACTAACGTTCCTAAATTTTATATTCTGTCATTGATCCCTTGGAAAACTCAACTGTCCCTGTTTAACAGGTATTGCTTTTGGGGCAGCAAGGAGTAGACATGAAAAAAAGTTGTAAAGGCAAAAATATATCATCAGCATACATACGGACATTTAAAATATTCCCATCATTATTTGACATATGTTATTAAGAGCAGCTGCTGAATTATTATCTAACAGTGTGGTGTTTGCTAGTTACATGGTTTGCATATTCTATCATTATTATTAAACCTTCCCTTGTTTATAAACTACATTCATATATGGCTTAACAAGGAGAGAGGCAAAGAGAAATGATTATCAGTGTTAGGACCCTAACTAAAGAAATGTGCTGACTTTAAGTTTATATCACATCTTTTGCACTACTTTGTCACATATCAGGAAATGCTCTATTTTTAATGAGGCAAAAGTAGAAATTAATCCAATCAAATCAGATAGTAGTTGCTAGTCCAGAGTGATATACAGATGCTTTCAGGAACGTTGTTGGTGTGGCTAGCATCGTGTGTGCATTCAAAATAGGTTTTAAAAATAGTGTTAACATAGCCAAAAATAAGGAGGGTAGATACTAAGGAGGGTAAATATTAATTTTTCCCAGGTTTCCAAGGAGTTATTAAATCTATGTAACCCATAGAGTAACAAGGTTTGTTTTATAAATGTAGCTGGGGATTGACCTGGATTCAGAAGGTCCAGTGGCACTCAGGAGGCAGAAAGCTCATTTTTCACTGGCACTATGTGACATACCTCATCTAAGAATATGTGTCATGATACCAAAATGGACATGTATAAAACATGAAAAAAACAGATTATTCACAATTTAATTTAGGTTTTAATCAGTCAAGGCAAGAAATTAAATTTAAAGGTTTAAAAAATGATTTAATGAGTAAATCTACAATTCAGTCAATGCCAAAGTATTCATCCTTGTATATACAGAGAGAAAATTCATATATATATATATAATCTATAAAAGAAAACAAAATTATTTCTATTTTATAAATAGCTAAAATCTAAGAAGATAAAAATCTGTACTTTCTTGTATGATATGCAACATATTTAGTTGCATATATAAATGAGGAAAGAGAATTTTGCCTTTTGTTCTATTTTGCATTTCATAATACAAAGTAAATTTTTAACTCCTTAATGGTATATTTGTCTTCTAGATTCCTGAACTGAATTCCTGATCTGAAGAATTCAAGATGTAAATAAGCAGACACTTATGACAGTGAAAATAATTATACAAAGTCCACCAAAATACCCTTGGAGTATGTAGATCAGAACTACTAGAAGGAACAATCAGGCTCCTATTACTACATAATCAAAAATCTTCAGAACATTGTGTATATTCTGCTGAATAAATACTATTACTAGTGCTTATAGAATTAAAATAAGATGGTAACATCTTCCCACACCAGATTTTCTTGTCCATCTTTTTGGTATCAGGATGTGAATGTTTGGACACTGTCACTGCTCTAACACTAACTTTTTTTTTTCAAAAAAATTACTCTCTTCAAAAGTTTTTAAAATTTAAGAAAAGCCAAAAATAATTAGCATAAACCAGTTATTTATCTCTTTGATGTAAAAGGTGTTTGGCTGTATTGCTGAAAATGAATCCCTTGGGATGCTGTAATCTTCATAACTTCTCCATTTAGAGTATCATCTTCAATTATTGTTATCAGTCCTTCAGCAATTATTGATGGGCTGGGGAAAAAAAAAAAAAATAAATTCAGAATCATGATGTAATAGGACATGTAAAAAGGACAAGTAAAGAAACTGATGTAAATCTATACACCCTGAAAATTAACCAAACTGGTATTTGAACAAATATATTTTAAAGAAAATCAAAAGTAATATGTGTGTTTCAGGAGAGAAATTTGGTCTCCTCACTCAGGACATACAACGTAAAGCAGCAACTTTACAGATCATCCTTTGTTTGCTCTAGCTACTGCTAAATCCCTGTGGACATCCAGGTGCCACTGGGCTTCCTATCAAAATTTTCTCTGTCAGGGCAATGGACAGAAGGAATCTTTACACAATCCTCTGCAGCTCTTTGCTGTTAATTTATCCTGTTTCTGCAGCAGGACTGACACACAAATCAGTGTAAGGAGAATATTGTCACAGGCAGTTTGCTGTGGTCAATAGGTGCAATAAATTTTACATATGAAAAAGCATGGGTGAGACAACACATAGAATTTCTTTTGTGCGGAAGTATCTGACCGGTTAATTGTTATGAGACTGAGAAAATGTTAAAAAAATATCACTTTATGCTTGTCTTGTTCTCACACTCTTTCCTAGCTGCCTGCTTTTAGCCTTTGTTGGCAATACCATAATGGTCTTTAACTCTTTGATCTGATCCACCACTGTCATTACTGTGCTCTTATGAACTCAGTCTGCTTTTGTCAGTTCTTGGTTTGATTTCTATCTTGGTTCACTTGTAAACTTTGTGGAAATATAATACAAATCATATATCCTGTATCTCACAGCAAGGTTGATTAAACAAATTTATGGAAGAACACCAATGGCCATTAAAAACTAAACCTACCCTCTCTAACTTGAGAATTGGATTTGCACTTTGCTGGGAAAACGGAAATATCACCGAGTGGGTGATGCTCTTAAACCAGCATTAGTTATCTGCCATTTGTTCCTTGTATATAGGATAACACATTTGATAGACTTTTATCTGAGGCAGCATTTCCTGAATTTTCCTGAAAGCTCTATTGTGTGTGTGCTTGTTCTTCATTAGCAAAAGGCAAAAAATCACTGTATCTGACTTGACTTACTCCATCACGCCGTAGAACTGCATCATATTTTTTATCTCATCCTTATACGAATAAAATTGTCCCATATTCTCCTCTTTATCTATTGACTGAAGAATTGGTGTGTTGACAAATCCTGGACAAATTGTGTTGAGTCTCACACCGTAGTTTTCCATATTAGCCGCTAACTGGAAAAGAGAAAAAGTTAGGCATTCATCATCAGCATTTTAAAACAGCATTGTATAAGAAGTTTTTCAAAGAATGAGATTTACTAAGTATTTTTCAGACTTGCCTAGTAAGCAAATCTTGCTAATACCGATTGTTTTGTTTCACTAGGTTTGAAGCATGTTTTCTCTAGTAACCATACTATATTACTAGGAAAAAACATCTGGTTTGCTGAGAGGACAATTCTACAAGGAATCAACACTCTTCTTTCCATGCAGCTGTTTTTTTCTAATATTTTTGTTATTAGTGCTCTTGGCATGTCATTAACAGTGTTCTAGGGTGATGATGTAACTATTATAAGCAAAGCCAAGTAAAAAAATTCTCTCACATGTATGCTTCCAATCTTATAAAAACTTTCTTATTAAAAGAAAACTATCTGAAGTCAAATCAAGATTTAACCTTCCTCACATCAAAAGAAATAGGATTTGGTCTCTGCTGCTAGAAATGTAATGCTAAACCTTTCCAGCTGCTGTTTTGTCCCTGCTAAGGGATGAATCTGTCACTGAGCATCTCCACAGGAATGTCCCTGGGAACTCCAGGAAAGAGGCAGGAGTTTTTTCAGGAAGCAGTTCCAAAGTGTAATGAAAGCAAGCAGCACAAATTGTTCTGGGAGTGGTAGGACCCTTCCTTTATGGTGCTACCAATGCACGTGTGTAGCGAAGTCCGATCAGCATTCAGGCATATGTTGAATGCCTGATGAACTTTCTTATCGATGGCACAGAACTTACAAACTATACATGATATATCCAAGAATAACCATAACTGTTCAACACTGAGTTCTATTTATTTTAATACTTAATAGGAATCCTTTCTGGTATTATGTAAATCCTGTGTCATTTTCATGATATGGTAGCCTGCCCTTTTGGTCTGGAGAAGAAAAGAAACTGAAGTCCTTGATGTTTTGTTTCATACCTGCCCAGTGTTAGGCTGTACTGCCTTTCCTGGTGAATACAGTGGTTTAATATATTTATTATTCTTTTTCTCCTTGTCATTCTCATGTTCCATAGAGACAGAATTTCCTCTAATTTTCTAGCAGACCCTTTATTTTTGAATTTAGATAGTGACGTTTATATTATAATGAGAAAACAAAAATGGAAACCCAGATGTCAGGTTCGTGCTGTGGCTAATATGTTATATGCAGCACTTATTCATACTAATCTGTTTAGGTTAATCTAAAAAAGAAGTTAAAGGTGGGGATGTAACATATAGGTAAACTATCCAAATGGTCATTGCAGGTGCTTTATTCTGGAAATAATATTGTAAATCTTATGAGTAGACTATCTTTAAGCTTAGTCTGGGAAAGTGTAATCATATTTGCTCCCTCCAAGTTATTTTATCATACTGCTTGTTCAATTTAACCAGACAGTTTTGCAGTCAGAGTCTAAGACTTAATATATGGTTATATAACATGTAATGTGTCCCATCCTGAATGTGACATTTTACATTTTCAGCATATTAAGGGCTAGTAAGAATAAATAATGGCAGACATTTTTGCATTCAAGTCTCTTATTGTACACTTTGATGACTTTTTTTATCATAAATAGGAACTAATCTGATGTACAAATAAGGAAACCAAAATGTTAAATGAATGGGATGGAGTTATGAAAAATATTTTTAAAGCTTGGATGAGAATTTGACTTTTGGGCTCTTCCCACTGTCCATTTTGCTTTACAACATCTTTCTTCCATGCTCCCAAAACTTCAAATCAGCCATAAACACATGGATCTATGGATCCAAATCTTTGGATTCCCTTTACAAAAGGAGGGAACCTCCACTGCTTCAGACACTTTGCTTTATGAAAATTAGTCCCAGTTGTGTGACAATAATGAGGGAACACAAGAAACTTGACGTGTTCCCAAGGAGCTGCTGATACTGTTTTCAAAAACACATACTTACTGCTATTGACCGTGTGAATCCAATTACACCATGCTTTGTAGCACAGTACACAGGTTGGAATGCAGCAGGCATGAGTCCTTTAAAATAAAAAGGTAGCTGAATAAAGATGTTGAGTACTCCTCTTTGTGATTACCTTAAACACACATATAGGTCTATAATGTAAAAATTAAGTGATGGATGTATAGAGATGCAAGAAAACAGATTAGTAAATTTTGCAAATTTTGTAATCTGAGGTAGGCTGGGAAAAGGATAAAAACATGAGGAGGCAAAATAAAAGTAATAAAAGAGTATAACTTTTAAGAGGAAAAATTGTATTTGTGAAGTATGACTTAAAATGGAGGACAGGATCTGGAAGAAAACACTCAGTGATGAAAATTTTGAACCTATTATGAATCTGTGAAGTGTTTAAGGTATGTAAAGTATTTTAGATAAACTTTGCCGACACCCTAGTTGCTGATATGTAAATTGGACACCTGCGATCATTTAGTGTTTTCATGGATGAAGTATGGGAAAAAGTAGGGGAAATAGCAAAATCTATTTTGACTACTGTAACTGATTGAATATTATCTTTGTAATATTTCAAAACATAATGTCTGACTTAAATCCCTTGCTGATGTTAAAGAAGGAATAGTAACAAAACTCAGCCTCAGATAAAACTTTTTCTCTAGCCCTAATGTGAGAGATGAGTGTGCTGCACAGCTGACTGAAGCAGTCAGCCAATACAACTGCCCATGCAATATTGTTACTGCTTATTTGTTTGACGATGTGGTTAGTATTATAACAACTACATACACTTTTGCATAGTAGTTTTTGCTTAAAGGAGCAACTATAAACAAAATAATTCAGACTTGACGCACTATCTGAGGCATTGTAAAATTTATTTTACTTACAATACTATTCTGGTAATATTTCATAGGTGGTATTTTTTAAAAAGATATTTAAATTAAATAGGGAAGCCATTTTGCAATAAGCAAATGGAAAAAGTCCTGAGAAGTGAACACAAGACCTCAGTGCAGAGAGAGTATAGAGATAAGTGAGTAAACACTATGAGTGGAATAAGAAGACCTCAGATAGTGATCAAAAAGAAATGAAAGCAGAGATGTGGACAGGGAAGATTTTTGAAGCATTTTCTAGATTGGATTAGTTTGCCTGAAAATGATTTCAAGGTATGGTGCCTCCTACAGTGGGCCCTGTTCTGGAATGAGAAGCCAAGATGAAGATTTTTAGAAGGGAACAGGAAAAAGAGGTAATAATCCTGGGTAGTATCATTGCTATTTTCTGTAAGGAAAAGGAGAAGCAAAATAAAAAATGACTCCTAACACTGTGAACCTTTATGGTGGGAGTGGGAGAGCATAAAATCATTATTTATAGTAGAGAAAGAAGAGAGAACAGAAGTTTTGGAGGAAAACTAAGAACTTAATTCTAGTAGGACTGTTTTGATGGTAAAAAGCTGGTCAAGAAGGGATGATGGACAATGAGTGCGTATACATTTCTGCCCATTATGCCAACAATTTCCATTAGACAATGACAACTAAACTGGACCACATGGATGCTGTAGTTCCACCTGAAAGCTAGGGTCTTGTGAATAGCAAACCACAGCTTGTTCTAAAGCTAGGGGATAAAATTTGTATGTGTTCCTGAATGTGATATTATAAAACCGAATGCCTATTTTGATGCCTTAATGTTTGATTCTAATGGAAGTAATCCCAATTAATATCTCAGATGTGTTTTTCATTCTCAGATGTGTATTTCATATCTTTAAGTGATATAATCAAGCAAGGGTGTGACTTCTCTCAATGGAGATAAAGAACCCACTACCATGCTTTAAGTTTGGATTTGGCAGAAAAATTATGTATGCCAGAGACTTGCATGGGCTCTCTGCTCTGAAATCCATTTTGTCTGAAGGAAAAATCTTTCTAAGATGGCACAAAGCTCTAATTACAACCCTGACACCTTCAAGGTTTTATGTTGGGTTCAGTGATCCAATGAAAGCAAAACTGGTATTAGCACTGTTCAGTGGTGGGAAATGAAGAACTTGTTCTCTTAAATGTGTATTTATCAGTTTAGCTTGGATTAAGGCATTATGCTTTTGATTGAGAACTTGCTTTATGAAAAATGATTTTTGTGTTATATATACTTTATGTATAAAGTATATCTTTGACCAGTGAAAAAATATGTTTTCCATAGCATATTAGTTAGGGCATTCATTTGTTAGAAAATCCAGATTGGATTTGCTGCTTCTATCAATATTTATTTATCTTTTCCAAAGTGGTACTGCAGTGAAACAGACTGGAGAACATGATGCACAAAATAATGGGGGAAGGAAAGGGAGGGTGTTGAAATGGGTGGTGATGGGGTAACATACTCCTGGAAAGTGATACGTGTGGTTCTCAATCTCTCTTTGCAAGGGAAAGCAACTATGCCTAGATTTTCCTCTCTCTGGATGTTGTTGCATCACTGAACTGCTACATGAAAGGGGACAGGGAACTTGCTTCTCCCCTCAAACAATCTTCATTGAGAACTAGTTGGTGAATTGCAAATGATTTCATGATGACTGAAGGTGCTCTTTGGTTTATGAAAACCAATTTAAGCAGATCAACATTGTGCATCAGTGTTAACTGCTCTTTTTAATTTTTCTCAGTTCCTGGCAGGCTGACAAAGATGGCTCTTGCCCTTGGTTGTACCCTAGTTCCCTTGTCATTACAAGATCAAGAACAGTCTACCATTTGAGACATGGTGTCAGACTTCTCACTACAACTTCTTTGTCATGATTAATAGTTTTAATATCCACATTTTTAGAAATTAGTATTGAAGGTGGAGGTTTGTATCAATAAGCTTGAGTTGTATCAGTGAGCTTTGTTGAAACCAGTATTTCCTTTCAGTCTGCTGAAGAGCTTTGATGAATACAGAATTAAGCACTTTTCCCCTGATATGTTTTCCCACTGAACACGTTGCCCTCAAAAGATTTGAACAAGTCTTTTCTTTGAATCACGATAGATTAGCTTTGAGATGATCTTTCTGCCCTCTATTTGCTCTGTGGGTGCACTATTAGGCAGCTTGAGACAAATGTAATTTCTGTTTGATAGTATCTTTAAGTTTCATTAATTGTTGAAAGAGTGTACTTCATGTTTGATTGAGTGTGGCACAGAGAATAAAGAACCATAGTCTGTTTCCTTACATGGCTGTCATCTCACAGGGGCTTTGGGTTCATCAGAAAGCACTGCTTCTGCACTATGATTATGCGGTGATTAAGGTCTATTCCCAGTTACACTTTAGACAAATATATTCACTGTTAAAACATTTAAACATCCCATTAAAACATTTAAATTTTCGGTCAATAATATGATAGTCACAGTATTATGTGGCATCCTAAAATTTTAAATTTTTCATTGTTTATGGACATATGTGAAAATGCTGAAAGGTAAGTTTTGGCAATCTGACAGAACCTATTTAAAAGCAAATCAAAAGTGTGCTTCTGTATGTGCTGGAAAATAATGTTTGTTTTATAAAATATGCTTATCAAAGCCTCTTGCAAATCATAGCATACTTATAAATAAGTTACATCACAAGATTTAGCTATATTTATTTAAATGAAATATATTTCCAAACCACATTATAGAAATCTCCTTTGTTGCCCTTAAGCAAAAGTTTGGATAAATGTCAAATATCAAATATGCTTACAATGTTCTTTGAAGGCCAAAGCCTCTTTTGAAAAGCGGATATATGTAACTAGAGAAACAAGCTAGAGGTATGATGGTTCTACAGAGTGATGAGAGAACCGATTAAAGGGGTTTATATAATACCCTATTCTTAAGAATAGGGAGGGATACAAGATTGCCTTCATTATGTCACTTATACTGTTCTGATCTGTGTCAAAACAAAGGAGACACAGAAATCCTAGCAAATATTCTAAGCTGTGTTATTTTTAGGAAATTTTTTAACAGCGAACTGAAGTCTCAGGGGAATAGTTTCTAAATTTTCTAACTTCATTCCTGTGGATTCTGCTCAGCATCCTCCTTTTTACAAAGGGGAGGGACCAGAAGCTCTTTCATGATGCTGAACTGAAGGCCACAGTTGTGCAGCCATTTACACCTTTGCTCCCCTGTATCACTGAGATAAATTCTTGCCTTTACTCAATGATGTTGCCATATGCTTAGCTTTGTTCTTGCAATATACATAGGGTCAGGTCCTAAAGAAGCTTCTTTACTGTGAGGGGTACTTTAAGTATTTATTTTGGCTGAAGCTTTTTATAGGAGGAGGACAAAGTGGTTGCTTGAGTGCAATCAAACTGCCAATATGACTGTACAATAGAAAAGTATCCAGATACACTACACATTGAGCAATCTCATAAAAAGCTAGCATGATCTGATGCTAAATATTTTACTAGTTTTTAAACCCTCTATGAATACTTTGATTGATTGATTTTTTTTTCAAATTTGCTAGAATAGACAGATGCAAATTCTGTTTTATGGAACACCTTTTTGAAAGTATGAAGGCTATCAAAACAAAAGTGCATGAACACATATGAATTCCCTTTCCCCCTTTACTTAATGAAAGTGTATAGGTACCATCCACCAAAAGGTAAGGGACAATGTTAAATTTAATTATGTAAATGATCTCAGGAGTTAAATGTAATTTTGTATGCTTTTTTGGTTGCTTGTATCTATTCTGTTAAACAGAAATTAAACTAATGTATGTAGCTTCCCACAGAATAAATTTTTGAACATTTTACTCTAAATTTGAAATTAAGTTTATTACAATGTAACAACCTGCAGTCATTGGCATTATTTTTCATGGGGGAAAATTGGCAGTAAAACACATTTCCCATTATCTCAGTTGTTTAGCAACATTATTCCTCTTATTATGAATGCAGAAATCCCTTAAAATTAAGAAAGTTTTATAGCTTGGAGACGTAGTGGATTAGGAGTTGAGTACTTGCTGCATGCACTCACATTGTTCTTTCCTTTTCTTACTTAGTCCTGTCAGGTGAAGACACTAAAGAAAGGAAGATTCAATACTGGAAAGACAGGGTGGACGCTCTGGCTTTCATCCAGCGGACTGAACACTTTAAGCATCCACTTCATAGGAAGCATTTAAAAAGTTCCACAGGTGTTTGGAAATATAAACCAGTAAGGCTTGATTCTGTCCCTACTTCAAATAATTGACAAAATTTCCGTGGTAAAGAACTGGAAACTAATCAATATGTAAAGCAAATATTATTGAGTGTTATGTAAGTACTAAATATAATTCATCTTGCTGTTCAGCAAGACACAAGATTATATGCTATCTGAAGAGTGTATCTGATAAAATCTTATAGAGCACTGGACAGGGAGATCAAAACCACTCAGAAGTTTAATGATCAACAGAAGCTAGCTCTGAGAAAACACTAGAAGAGGATGTTAAACAAGCCAATGGTAGTTTATCTGTTATATATGGAATAAACCGCAGGACTTGGACCTTCAGACTGGAAAGGAGAGTTAGAGTTACAAAGCACGAATAGTAGTAAATAAACAAACAATATAAATTAGCGTATGTCAGTTTTTATAATGTGTTTTTCCTTATGACCTTGGAAGCAATTGCTAAATACAAGCCACATAAAAGCAAACAAAGCAAAGAACACTTTGGTTTTGACAGATATTATGGCAAAATGTTAATGTTAAAAAAGTAAATAAATAAATGCAGATTTCAATCAAATAAAATGTCACTTATAAGCTCTTAACAAACTGAGAACAGCCAAGCTGTTAGGTCATAAAATAATTTTGTGTTCATCTGAGACTAGTTAGCAAAGGAATCAAACCACTTGCTACCTCTGCCCTTTCTTAAGCACTGCATGGGCGTCAGCAATTCTGCGAAAATGTTTAATCTTTTACTTGTGTTGATGAACTCTTGTCCTGCAATAGCAGTTTCGTTTGAGTTAATTTGGTCCCAATACAATGTCCATCTGAGCCAACAGAGATAAACTTACTGGCATCAGTAGGCAGTATTGCAAGTGCTGATTTAAAGGCACATGGAGACTTTTAACAGAACCCCTCACCAGTATGGGATATGTGCACGTATTAAGTCAGATCCTCAAGATCCACATGCATTGTATCAACGGGGTGGACTCATCACAAAAGCCAAAGTTTACAAGAGAACTTAAGAGTCAGAACGTTCACACCTATCCATAATCAGAAACTATGGCCACTGCTGTTTTACTGGCTTTTCATTGTTAAAACACACAGGAATACCCTGGAATAAAATTAGTATAATTTGGTATACTGTATGAAAGAAAGTACTGACAATCCAAGTGTAAGCTAGCATGTGTTTTATTTTTCTCAGACAATGACAGTAGCAAGAGAGAAAATTTCCAATTTTTTTGAGGAAGGGTGTCAGGTGACATTATTTACCATTTCTCCTTCAGCTATGCTTTTTTGCTTTAAGCCCAGCCACTGCAACATTAAGCGTACCTACAGGAAAGGGTATAGAACTCTGCCTTACAACTGAGCAGCAATAACCCTGATTTAGAAGCCATGTCATTCTAGTTTTATGCCACTAAATTGAAATAGAGTTATAACATAGATAAGTATGTGAACATGTTTGCTTGAGCTCAGTGAAACATGAGTGTTAATTTTATGGCTTCTCAAGCAGAGGTAGATCACATCTGAGAGGACTTGGTGTGTGACAATAGTCATTAATAAAGTAGGTGTAGTCTAATCTTAAATATTCCTACAGCTGTGCTCCTAAGGAGTTGAATGGAGGACCTGCTACTGCTTCCTCACTTTCTGCGAAAAAAGATGATCTGCTTTTCCAAATTTGATACCTGATAAATACTCTATAATATACAAATAATCAGATTTAAAGTAAACCTGAATTCAAATTAGGTCTATACATTAGACTTGTTTTTTTACATACAGTGCAGTGTATGTAATATTTTAGTTCAGCAGTGTTATTGAAGTGTTGAATAAGCATAATGAATTGAGGCTAGTTAAGTTTTCTTCGATGTGGGCAGTATTGAAACTGAAAAAAACCTACTTACATAATGCTCAAGATTATTTAATATGAGACTGATAGATGAGGAAAATAACTGAATTTTTCACTGAACTGAGTTTAAAAAAGCAAATGAAAGTTGTCCTGTGATATTATTTCTGTTGCTATGATGAAAACCAGGTCAAAGTGGGAATAAACAGGGAAGAGCCATAAGAAAGGATAAAAAGTATGACTGATCAGTATGATTAGTTTATTTTAGAAACAAAACAGTGAGTAGAAAGTGTTTATATTCTCACCTGCCAAGGATGAGATATTAATGATTACTCCTCCATCACCTCCATTTCCTTTTCTCATGTATTCTAGGCCGAGGTAGGTTCCTCTAATCACAGATGTCTGATATAGGGAGGGAAAGGGATAATTATATTCAAAATATCTTTCTTTTGATCTCCTAAAAACCGAAACTTGCTTTTCTTGTGTTGCCTAGAACCTGTATTGTTTTGCCAGTGATCTTATTTACACTTTGAAGATTACAAACCCAGAGGAAACTCCACAGTAATACAGCTCCATAACTTCAGAAGCACAATTGCAGTGGATAGAAATAAAAGCAGCTTAATTATTGTTATTGTTAAGATATCAATAATCAAACTGAAATGTTACAATGTAAAATATGAGCTGTGAAGGAAATCAAATAAAAAATAAGTAAATAATTTATAGATGAAACACATAGTTTAAGGATATAAGTGGTAGATTAACTCATCCAAGTCCCAGCATTTTTGTTGAGACACACTGCTTTACATTATAAAAAATGTACAGACTGAATCTGAAGATAATGTTAATATTTATAACTCCTTTTGGCTCAAGGCACGAGAAATTCACACTTTTTAGGATTAAGTTATGTGATATATATCTGATCCCAGGATATTAAATATTTGTATTCTTTTCTGACTGAAGTTACTGGAGTGTTACCATTCCTCTCAAATTAAAGTTAGCCCAAACAGACAAATACAGATAAGATAAAAGAGCATTCTATGAGATGTGAAATGTTGTTTGCATATTAGCTGTAACAAGTGATTTTCTTTTTATTTATTTATTTATTTATTTATTTATTTATTTATTTATTTATTTATTTTAAAGAAATAACTTTGAGGAAGAAATTTTATTGAGACCTCTACAATCTGGATTCCTTAAGATCTGTTTTTGAACCCTACTGCAGTCAGGAGTTCTGCTGGGATTCCTCTCACTGAACTTCAGACATTTAAATTAAGATGCCTAAAGGTACAGGAAGCCTGCGGTTATCAGCCTCCTGAATCAATCCAGAGAGGCTCTCCCAAAGAGTAAGTCACTTTACCTGTGATTTTAACAAGTTATAATAGAACGGCAGCAGACAATGCTCCTAGTGGAACTTTAGGGAAATGTTGCAATATTACTGCATTAGTGATGAGTTTCATAATTACTTACTGATTTTTTTTAGATCTCCCCATAATCAGTTCACATTTGGTTTACAGTATTTTACTTAAAATGAACACATTTTCGAGTCATTTTTATTCTTAGGAAAATAGTATTTCCGCTTTTAAATGAGAACTCCATTTGTATTTTGTTACTGTTTAATGCTGTTTATTTGACAGAAATAAATTAAAAAGTTCCAAAGATCAGTTGGTTCTACAAATATTTCCACATCTGTGCATAATTATTTCACTGAGATTTTTGACCAGGGAAGGTCTACAAAATTGTGAATCATGGAGACGGAAATTTCCCAAAGTAATAAAAAACCACAGTGGAAACGCTGTATAAGCCTAAAACCTAATGGATAATGTCTAGTTGTCCTGGATAGAAAAAGTATGTAAAATCAGAATATTAAGTATTTTTCTAAATTCCCAAACCAAAATTGGAATAATTTTAAGATGAGTATTACATTTCATTTTTATTAGCTGATTTTTTTTTAGACATACATGTTAAAAACATAGAGTAAAACTTCTAATTCAGTTACCCTTCAGGCTTGGTGGTTTTAATGGGAATTAGATTTGGAAGACTGGATGTCCTGCTTTATTAATATTGCTTGTTCATTTTCCAAGTAACATGAAGTTAAGCTGCCCATTGACAGATAAAACAGTCTGAGACATCATTACCAAGTTTGTTTCCAAATTTTGATAATGAATCAGCTTTTAAAATTTTCTGTAGTTGCAGCATTTTATCTGATATTTTCACTATTAATATGTTTTCAATATACATTTTTCCTGGAATAGTGTAAAAATAATAAAATATGAATATTTAAAAATTCTGAAATAATATTTTAAATTTTTCTTTTAAAATTCTCAGAGAAAAATTTTTCTGTTTCTCTCTTAGGAAGTTTTGTTTCAGGTAACATGCTTTTAAAAAATATTTTGATTAATATCAAAAGAATGTTCTTGATTAATCATTTTAACATAAAGTTTCCAAAGAACTATCTTCAGTGGTTTGAAAAATACAAAATTAAATATGATTTCTCTTGCATGTCCTAGAAAGTAGCAGAGCTGTTATAAATGTTATCTATTGCTGTTTAATGTTGATTGTCACATGTAAATTTTAAAGGATTTATTGAAAAACGAGATTGTTAATGCCTGGTAGTGTTGCTGTGTGAATGCTCTTTCTGAACATAAACTCATCAGCAACTGAACTGAAACTAGACTTGTGCTTAAGGGTGGGTGGTGGTTTTTTAATATATACATATGATAGTCTGTACAAAAGACATTTAGAAAAGAAGGGGTTAATGCTGTCTGTGGGAGGAGGTGCAGGTCCTATCATGATCTGGAGCAGTGGCTCAGCCCACTGAACAGAAAAAGAGAATTTCACCTAGGATGATTAGAGGAAATCAGTTGGAGAATGAAGTAGCTTGGGGCTCTTTGAGGATTTTTCTATTCCTCCAGTTCGAAGAGATAATAGAGCTAGATGAGTCCTTGGCCAAACCACAATTATAAGACAAGGAAAAAGCGGATAGCTTGACTCTCCTATCAGAATCACTGTACTGCTCTTTTTTACGTCTAGACTCCATTAACTTAGCATTTTTTCAAGTGGGGAAGCCTTCTCCTTTATGTAGATATTGTGAGAGGTCTTCAGAATAAATGCAGACTTTCATTCAGATATTGCCCTTACACCTGCTGTTATCCTTGCAAAAATCTTCTCATTGAGTGTAGGTGATCTCAGGTGACATGGCTATTTATGATGTTTGGGCTGATAACATAATTATTCTAGAGATAAACTCTGAACCAAATATACAGGGTGAGAAGAACCTAGCTGTCTGCACACTCAGCAGGTGGTACTTCAAATGAAAGGCATCGTGTGATAGATCTCCCATTCTCTTTCCAGAATTCCCCTCTCTTCAGGAGAAAAGGTTGTCTCCATAGTTCTTCAAGGAAGAACAGCAATGACTGAACTTACTGTAGTACAAAAGTCATATGATGTGTGATTAGAAGTCTTAGTGGCACTTTCCAGTTGAGCCTGTTTATCTAGCTGAGCTGATAAAGCAAAGCTGGCTGTCATATCTGGGTGCCAAACACTCAAACGGGAAAGAGATTTTCCAAAGAGCAATAGTCTTTTGACTATTGTTTTCCAAACAACAATAGCATAATGGGTTTTGGTTTTGTTATGAAATCCATCTTTGCAGGTGCATTAATTGCAGCCTTAGGCCTCCCCTCATATGAAATGTGACTTGGGATTCCTATTTGTTGACATCAGAATACTTAGTCTGAACTCTAGAAGAAAGCTTATCAGCTATTACTTCACTATACAATGAAATACACAATAGAAAGTAAGACAGGCCAAGAATGCTGCAATCTGTGCAGCCTGGTTTCCTGGTTTTGGGATATGATGAAAAATGCCTGTAATTTGCCTTTCAATAAACTGACAGAAACTAAAGGTGTCTTCCAATTATATAGTTCTGCGTGTATATTTTTAAGAATAATAATTTAATTTCATGCTTTTAACCAACAATATTTCATAGTTTGTCTATCACAACCCTGGGAAAGTTAAACTTAAAAATACCTAATTAAGAAAATCATCTGAATTGTTTAAGATTAAAATATACAGAGAGACTTAACTTGCATGAAAGCATGTTGCATTTTAGAATTGAATTTTTTGCAGTTCCTTTGTTTACAACTGCATTTAGCTGCATGGATGTTGTCCATTAAACATGTTGAGAACAAAGAGTAGGAAAGTAGTCAAATTAGCAATTAAATGCAGGAAAATTGGGATAGCTGACTCTCACCTATTTTTTTTGTTCCTGGCTATTGAAAACTAGTATCATTAAAATCAGAAAGTAATCTAAACAGTTGTCCTCCTAGCTGTTGAAAAAATTGTGATCTTAGTGATACTGCTGTTTGTTTTCTTACCAAAACATGGTGTTTTACTATAGCACATAATGAAGATGGACCATCAAGGTGCACTGCAGGTCTGACTGTGCTCCCCAAAGAGGCAATTTTACTCTTCAACTGTCAGTAGAAAATTTAGGAATCTTTCCAATGAAGTTATAATGGTGAGTATGGGAACGTCTCCTAGTGTTAGCTTCCGTAAATTACAGATTTGAAATAGAGATCAGACATTCTGATGTACCATACAGCAATACACCCAAAACTTAGTGTATGACAGCAAAATAATTGTACAAATACTCAAAACATTTACAGTTGCTTTTGTAAGTATCCTATCAGTTAGCAGTAACTTATATAACAAATCGTTAAATGGCAATGTAGCTATCAGTGTCAAAAGCAGAAACAAAACTTACAAAATCTATGATTCTTGACATTTCTATACATCACACGGCTGTATAGTTTTAATTTTATTGTTCTAAAAGAAATCATATATTGAAACTCTGATTCTAGTAAGACTCCAAGTCTTCATAGAGACCTAATTAATTTTTTTCTAGTGTTAGGAACCAGCATTATACAATGTTCTTGTATCACAACATTACACTGTAATTCAGTTTTCATATTCTGTGTTTCATTTTAGCTTGATCTATTAAAAAAAAAAGAAGTGTTCTTCAGTGATGGTGCCCAGAACATCATTAATCATCATCCTTTGCAAGTGACAATTGCTTTGAAAGTAATTTAGTACACAGTACTTTTTTTCTAGCATTTCAAGGCAGGTGTTCCAACTGACAGTTTCTTATATGTATTTGGTAAGGTTTCCCTTGCCACCTCTTGTCTGATACTTCTGATATCTCCTTATGCTGAGAAACCATGTCTGCATTTCTTCAGCGCTGAAGATTACTACCCTATTTTTATCAAGGTGAAAAGGCAGTATTAATCCTTTCGAGAGAACAAAATGGCAATCAGTAATTAGTTTTAGCACTTCATGTAGGTTTCTGAGCTAATCTAGTTCAGTGTTAGGGATACCAAACAAAAAAAGAAATGAAAGAGCCATTG